CTGAGAAACATTCACAATGTAATATGAAATGCTCCAGTGTTTCAGGTTCCTTTTTGCAACATGGACAGATACAATCATTATTATCCAAGTTTGCCCATTTCCTTTTCTCATATGCCAAACCAAGAGTGCAGGATCTTGCCTTGAATTTTAATTGGGTGCCCTTGAAGTTGGATAAAGAATTTAAATATTTCTCTCAATATTTTAAATTTGTTTTAAATTTTCTATAATGAACGAGACTTGATTTCTCTGCCATTTTTTGTTTCCATTGAATCTCGTCACTTTTTACAATCAAATTTTTAATATTTCTTTCAGACAGATTAGTGAATTGACTTTTGTTTATCTTTATATTTCTTTCTATATCTTCAATTCTATTTAGCCATGGCCAGGTCTTAATCAGATTATTCTCTTTAACTGCTGTTAGTTTATTAAAAATTACTATTAAAATGGTAATTTTGTTTGTGTTTGAGCTTAACCCCATGCCCATGATCAGAAAGAAAAACAAAGCATTTTGTACACAATGTGTTGTTATCAACAATTTTGATTTGAATACCCCTGTGATTGACATTCATTTTAGATACTTACATGGCTGTTTAGAACATGCAGCCTCATGACAACTTTTAGATGAGACTTGTTCTCACTGTGAGTGACAGAAAGAATGAAACACCAATATTGCAGTATGAGACACTGTTTTGATAATAATATATTTAGATTTCTCACAATGTAGCATTTGTTTCCTATAGCATAACTTTAGGTGATGTCGCTATTTTGTTAGCTTGAAATTTATTTCTCACTGCAGGGATGATCCAGTAAAAATAAAATCATGCAAATGTATCTCTTTTTTTCTATATTTTCTATATTCAACTCATCAAAAAATTAATTCCATAACAAAACACTCAAAAAGTCTGTTCAGTTAAAATTAATTCCAGCTAAAATAAAGTTTTTTACAGTATTATATATTCCTAATACTAGAAATATATAAAATACTCCATTCATTTGGATCTTCTAAAAACAGCGATTTTGACAAGCAGAGAATACCATCATGGAGTACATGTGATTTGCATACTGAAATCAGGTCTCTATCTTTCTATTTCTACACCTGAATCTTAAAATCTAAATGCAAACAGAATTTTAGTTTGTATGCACATTTGACTTTAAGTTCACAGATGCAGGCTAAGTTGTAAATTAACATTAACAAAAAAGGAATTATCTCCCTGATTAGAAAAATAATAGAATGTTTATGCAGCAGATTTGAGGTGTTATCTTTCTTTGTTCAAGTGCAAATAGAAGTTGTACACCTAAAAATTGAGGCAGAAACAAACACATGACCAATGAAACTACATATATTTTAAAATTGTTTCGTAAAACGTTTTCAAAACTCAGAGAGTCTGTTGTAGAACTGAATAATTAACGCATCTATTGAAGGTCTATTCTACTGTCACTCTGGATTATTAAAAATCCAGTCTTGTGTTCCTTACATAATTATCATTGTATGTAATTCCTAAAAGAAACGATGGTAGCATCTTTCCTGAAAGCTCACTTCAATGCCAGGCAATAGTGGCCCCACTGCACTGATGTTGTGCCTTTAAATGTCCAGTGCTACAACTGATTCTTTCCATTTTCTTTGATAGAACAAGTTTTATTAACAATTTTGGCATATGGCATAGTTACATTGCCTATATGTCTGTAAATACAACAATGTTATGTTCAACTTGCTTCAGTGCTGTATGTACCGGTAACAAGAATTAAAAAAATATGGAAGAAACTGTGCGATCCTTACTAGAAGCTAATTTACAATAAACTTAAAATATTACCTAATGCAGATATAGACATTAAATGTAAAATACTTAATTTTCGCTTGGAAGGAATTATTCATTGAAAATAAAATACAGCGAATATACCCTTTTTCCTATATTTTACATTCAACAAGTCAAAAATCAGAGAAAATTAATTCCAGCAAAAATAAAGTATTATACAGTATATATTTATGCTGTAATTTTTGATAGATCTCATAAGGTATAACAATTCTCATAGACAAACCAGAACAAGAAGTCGGTAGAAAACAAAAAATGTTTTCGTTAGCGTGGGAGAAAACAGAGGTGTTATTTCGAAAATTCATTGTCCTTTTCTGTTTGTGATTGATCCTGGCAACGTTTGACGAATCGTGACGTAGCTTCGTCTGTGATCTAATGAATACAGTATATGTTGGGTGATTAACGTACGATGTTGTTATGCAGATTAGATATGACGCTATGCTATTCTTTTATGTGCATAATAGATAGGAAATAAGCAAATCAAAAACACTTCTAGTAATTGAAAAAAAAATACTGTAATAGGGTTAATTATTCACTGGGGGTTAGTTTTGCTTATTTCGCTGACTGGAAAATGCGCTAAATTAAAACCCAATAAATATGTCAACTTTAGCATAGAAGACATTATCTAAATAATAAAACCGTAAATTTAAAACCCACTGAATATGCCTGAAATGCTAAATCTGCAAAATTTAAACCCAGTGAAAATTAATCATTTTACAGTAATTACTTAAAAACGTGTCTTTTTAGATGGCATGGTATTTTTAGCTAATTTGGCTAATGTAGATAATTTAAAGCAGATGGATCGTCACCTGCACACAAGCGAAAATTGAGTCCCAAGCAATGAAAACAACACAAGCTAAAACGCAAAGGCTCATGGGCAGACGCTTGTATGTAAACAACGCCAGGCTATGGCTGTATGACGCATACGCAGGTGACTACCCCCCCTGTTTTAAATAGTATATTCTCACAATTAAGATTCTGTTAGTTCTTACATTGTGTCAAATTCACTAAATTTGCACATAGATATTTCAACAAGCTTTATAGTATTTTGTGCCATGATGAATCCCATGAACCAAAGACTAATATATCATGTGTGATTGTCATGGCATGCCCCGGTGGTTATGTACTTTTGACAGTATGCACCGTACTTGTAATCTTCAATCACATACTGTCACTCAAAAACGTCTGCTTGTGCGTACTTGCCACCAAAGTTATGTTGGTGATAAATAACTACTTGTATAGCAGCTGACTAGTTGCTAGTACTCAAGGTGAACTATTGTAATACCACTTGCATAATTTTATATCCACGATAACCATAAAGTCTTCAAATTGTAAATAAATTCCTAGTGACAAAAATTTAATGATTTACAGTACGCGCAATTGTTCTTAAAAGATAGTTTATGAATAAATGCAATGTGCCAAAGTAAATAAAAATCAAATACCGTGTAAGACTTGCTGGGCTTAATTGTACCATAGACCTGAAATTCTTATGCCTGTACATTGTATATGTATGAAACGGTTTATTATAAAAGCTGTGAACTGCTGTATTTTGATTTGTCGTCTATTTTTGACTTACTAGTAACCAACAAATTTGATTTGAATTTGCCAATTCTAATTTAAAACAAAAAAGATAAATTGATATGATTTTAAAATTGATTATTTAAAAATTTTTTTTTCCCTTTTCCAGGACATTTCACCATGGATGAAAAAGTGGACTTATCTGCCACCGATCTACGTCAGCGCACCAACTACAATGTCAACCGACCAGTTTATACTGAAGATGAATTCCACCTTGGCCATCAGGTAGCTGATGTATCCAAAGAGACAGTGCCACAGAAGATCAAAAAATACTTCCAAAAACAGTGCTCATGTTCACCCAAGTGTTTGAAGGAGTTTGTGCTGGCTAAGATCCCCATACTAGACTGGATGCCAAAGTATTCAATACGGGAAGACCTCGTCGGAGATATCTTAGCTGGCATTACTGTATGCGTACTCAATATACCACAAAGTGAGTTGCTATTTATGAATGATATCTATTTGATGGATATCATAGTTATATTATTATATAATAATATTATAGTTAACAAAATATTTCCCCAAACCAGAGCATAATTTTACTTGTGTACTATATGTTGCCAGTGATCTCGGAAAGCTAAAGTCTCATAATCATGTTTTTTTTTTTGCCTTTAGGTCTGGCCTTCGCTCTGTTGGCAACCATGCCACCTATCTATGGTTTATATGTTGCGTTCTTTCCGATTCTCGTTTATGCCTTCTTCGGTACTTCCCGACAAATGGCATTTGGTAAGTAGTAAACATGTTTATTACTAGTATACATACATCCTGGACTGAATAATTGGATTTGCTGTGTTAGCAGTGCATATGATTTTGTAATAATTGTTGATTTGATAGTGTTCATTTCATGTGCATGTCAGTTCTATTTGATTGCAGGTCCTTGTCATGTGGCATATGTTCTTTTGCTAATAAACATTTTTTTTTGCATGCATTTCAGGTTCATTTGGTGTGGTCAGCCTGATGGCTGGATCAGCCGTGGCTAAAGTTCTAGGACCACCGCCGGAAGCGCCTGCACCATTAGCAGATGCCAATGATACAGAAGCCATATATAATTTTCTTAACAGTAGCGGTTCTAATATCACAGATGACGCTATTAATGATTACGAGTATCAGAAACTGTTAGCCATGACCAGTTTAACATTGATGATAGGTTTGGTACAGGTATGTACATTATTTTAGAATGTCAGTCATTGACCACAATTTTTTTGACAGCATTTAAACAAATCAGTCATAATTCATTTCTGTGGGCATAGCTTTCATGTGAGCACAGAACAACCAAATTTAAGTTGCTAGTTACTATTTTACTGTAGAATACTTTATTTTCCTTGGAATAAATTTTTGCTTAAGGAATAATTCAGTGAAAATAAAATCTAGCGAATATTTCTTTATTCATATATTTTACATTCACTTTGTCAAAAGTCAGTAAAAATAAATTCCATACAAAACAACCAAAAAGTGATTTCAGCGAAAATTAATTCCAGCTAAAATAAAGTATTTTACAGTACCGGGTATGTAGGTTTGTTGAAACTTTAACAATGAGAAACACTTAGTTTAACATAAGAATGGTCTGGAGAAAAAATATATATGTATTGGTATATCTTGAATCAGTCCAATACAATCAGTTTAAATTTATATCCATTTGAAAAATAATTGACAAAGTTATAGAACCCCAGAAAATAAAGTCACTACAATCCTGTCAAAATTTTAATATATCATTTATTTGTTTTCTCATTAGATTCTCCTGTCTGTTTTTCATATGGGCTTTGTGACGGTGTATTTATCAACACCGCTCGTAAGAGGTTTCACTACTGGAGCTGCCTGTTACATCTTTACAAGTCAAATTAAATTTTTATTTGGATTGTCAAAGTATATTCCACTCTACACAGGACCCTTCTCACTGGTCTATGTAAGTACATGTAATGGAATGAACCATTCTATTTAAAGGGGAGAGATGAGTCAGTATTGAAATGATACACTCCATTTGATCAATTGAGACATGGCTTTCGTAGTATAAGCATATGTATTTTTTATCGGTTATAGATTTGAGTCAGTTTGTTAAAGTACTTTGCATCAATCCATGGACAGGAACCACAAACAGCTTTATTTTTTGTGAAAGAAATTTTTTTTTTGAATTTTGTGTGTCTAAAAAAACAGTTGCATTGACTTTTTTCAAAGTGCAGGGGGTTAAAAGAGTATTTCTATACTGATGATGGTTACTGTACCTTGTGTGTGATGATTGCAGCCTACATATAATAGAATATTTAAATGCTGTAAATAAATTTATCGCTATCGCTATAGTAATGAAGCCCTACATTCTGGTGGTGCTCCCATGATGCATCTCAAACTGTTGCTACTTTTGTAATAACATTTTACAGTATGCTAACCCTATGGGGTATCTCTCTGATTTTATGTGCTGAGCAAAACACATTTATCTGAACATACTTTTGTCTTTCTGAATGAGGAGCCAACCCTTCTCATTTTTGGATCTTGGGAACACCACAGTAAATTCATTAATTTTTGATAAACAATTAAACAATAGTTCAATATAATTTTCAATTTTATTTTCATTACATATTCAAGGTTGTTATCACCTACGCATGTGAGTAGGTCACTGTGAAGCCATATTGTTTATTGACTCTTTACAGTGCATAGACGAATGTCATGTACCGTGCCACTAAGGACTTTTATTTTCAATATCGTTATTATACTATATTATACTTCTATTTGAATATAAACATAGTCACTTTTCGTACTTCTGCTTGTTTTTTACCGACATGGCAGGACAAACAAGGAATTCATGTATGATTTGTTCTATGTATGGCGATATTAAAATAACCGCATAATTCCTTAATACTGCCTGCATCCTTTTCAGAGATTCAGTTGTGTCCACGCATGTCCTGTTATTTTTCCTGAT